ACCCTCTGTCTGAAACCAGATGCCAGTCTGCTCTGATTGGTTAGCTGGCCAGCTCTGTTGTGATTGGTGAACCACTAAGAGAAGTCCCGCCACTTAGCACGTACAATGTGTTGGATCACTAGCCAATAGAATCGCAAGAGTTACATAGTGATTATACTTTGTTACAAAGAACATGTACAGTAGGAGAGAAACTCCCCCTGGAGGGAACACAGGGATTTTAGCCTTTGCAGACAATTTACATGCACAACAACCTATATAACACACACACTACATGTTACTTGTTAGACGCTTTTATCCAAAGCGACTAACATACTCAATACTGTGGGCAATCCCCACAGGAGCACTTTGGGGTGAAGTGTCTCAGGGACACAACGACATGCTGACTGCAGTGGGGTTTGAACCTGTGCTCCCCTGATCTGAACATCAACGCACTAGTCCACTGCGCCACAGTCTATCTAGGGAAAACCTAAAAAAACAGATTAAGTCCTGAGTTTCAGAATAAATGCTTGAAGTGACACACTTTTAAACAGATCCACTCACTACATTCTACTCAACTGCCTGCAGTTGCAATACATGACTGAAAGCTATTCATTGGGGTCCTTCAAGGTAACATACAGTCCTGGGTCAAACTAAATAAATGATGCATGCACGTTCAATCAACAACTTCAAAACAAATTGAAAATAAACAAAGGTTGAATCTGTGCCAGTCTATTTCCATTTAGTTTCAATGGATGTGTCAGAATGATCTGAAGTCCACGGACTGTGCTGAGTCTGCCACCCGCTGATAGATTTCCCTATAACTTTTGGGGAATGGCTGAGGAGCAAACTATCAATCAGGGGGTTTAGACTTTGCTCCAACCAAATTAAATCAACTGAATTTCAATTCAATCAAAGCTGCCTCTCACAAACACAGGTCCCACCGAGGCTCCAATCGACCACAAAGCAGACAGTGTGAGGGCAGAGGGTGAAGTGACAACATTTCAACTTTTAAACAGATCCACTCGCGACACTTTACTAAACTGTCTGCAGGTGGAATACATGAACAAAAACCACAAGGTATCCTTTAAAGAAATATACTGTAGATGAAGACCAATTCATATACACATGAAATACACCTCTGCAGCCAATAACCTCACCGTTACCCTATGTAAGGAAACACATCAACACATTCAAAATCATTTGCCTGAGCCCTTGGGGTCTGCACCACTGTGCCGATGCTGCTGTGTTCTGAGATGAACAGAAGGAAATGAATTGACAAAGAGCTATTGTCGGTCTTAACGGCCTTAAGGCCTCAGTATGCTCAAACAAAGAGCTCCAGAGATTGTCGAACAGTGTCTGAAATCCCCTCTCTAGACATCTTTCTGATGTTGGAATTGGCGGGCCTACTTTCTGAAACAGAATATTTGATAGGAGATACAATATAGGAAGACAGGAATGTTTTGATTTCTCTCTCAACTGTACCTATATTGAGTTGCTTGGTGTAAAGCCCAGAGCAACACATTTGATACCCGTCTGAAACAGCCAATCAAAAAACTGATTCAACCTTATAACCAAAATATTACAAAAATGATATGGTGTCTTGGGTGCTTCAGAAGTAGATTGTCCTCTCTTGACTTTTTTGTCAAACGGCTGGCTTTAACATGAAGGTTGTTTAAACAATTTGCTAACATTTGATTTCTGTTTTATCAGCTAATCTTCGAAAATCTGCTGCTGTTATTGCAATCCATATTATGTTAGTTCTGTCTCTCTTGAAACCTGCTTAATCTTACACAGCGCGGAGATTGCTTTGAGTAGCCAGTCCTTCACCTAGAGAATTTAGCTCTTTTAGATTGTGTTTTTTCCTCAGCATATCAATAAGCATTAATGCACCAATGGCTCCAGGAAAATCATTATGAAACAAAGAAGCAGGCTAGTCTACAAAGAAAAAGCGATACACAACGTACACGTTGATATTTCCCAGCAAATAAACAACGCGAAATAAGATGCAAAGATGCAACAATACTACAGGTTAAAATTGACCAACCTAGCTGGCAACTTATAGTCAAATAAACAATGATATTAAGTTGCTTGACACTGGCTATTTTCAGTAGTCCAACTGTCCAAATTGGAAATTATGTTTAATGCAATTCTGAACCTGAAACCATGAAAGTTCCTCTGCGTGTGCCCAGTCCTGCAGTGTGTGTGTGTGTGTGTGTGTGTGTGTGTGTGTGTGTGTGTGTGTATGTATGTGTGTGTGTGTGTGTGTGTGTGTGTGTGTGTGTGTGTGTGTGTGTGTGTGTGTGTGTGTGTGTGTGTGTGTGTGTGTGAGCAACCAAGCGTAACACCATGAATGAGAGTAAAGAGAGTGCCAGAAAGATTGACTGTGTCCAGACAACACAACATGCAGGAGGCACAGAGCTTTGGAGAGAGATTCGAAAGTCATGCAGCCAATCGGAGGCTGTGATGGCTTCTCACCAAGCCTTTGAGTATGAAGACTGGGTATACACACTTACTTCTAGATGTGGTCAGACAACAAGAATCACTGCATTGGTTTCAAGCCTACGGAACTCTTTACTCATTCACTAGTTGACTTTCTCTCTGCTTCTCTTTCTCTGCACTCTTTATTCCCTGTTGTTGTTCTCTATTGTCTCTCTATCTCTCCACCCAGTTTTCTCATCTCCCTTAGCTACATCTCCTTTCTGTTTTGCTTATGTTTCCAGACGACAAGGCCACCAGCCAGGCTCATATGCAGACGCTGGGTGCATTTAGTGCTCAGGTTGTGTGAGGCTCTCAGCTGCAATTGCTGCTTGAATCAGAGTGACAGTTAGCCTGGAGCTGCTCTCATTGCTCTTCTTGCTCTCTGTTCCCCTCCTGAACACAAGAGCAGCCATATGCTGCTCCTCTGCCTTCGACTAGAGGGTTATTTCATTAAAATGTTGTCTACTTTTCCATCTTTTTTTTATTTTTCGCTTTCTTGTCTTCCTGCCGCTTCAGGCCTTAGCAGGTTGGTTGTGCAAAGGATCAACATGGCAAGATTCTCAACAGATGGCTGCAAGGACTCGTGGTATATGATTCCGGCTTTCAGCATGAAACTCCGCTCAGCCGAGAGCCACGGTTACCGTCCAGCAGACTCAAGTGCTGACCGCGGTGGTTGGAGGCAGGTCAGAGCGACTGTTTAGGGAGGTGCTTGAGGTTTGTCTGTGATAGTTCCTGGCAGCTGCGCTCGAGTGTTCAGTCTGCTCAGACTCCGGGGGGACTTGAACTCTGCGTGTGTCAACCGTCAAGCAGATGTCCAGGATCAGGAGGAGGACAAGTGGCTTTGCACATGCTTCAGAAGACGATGGTGTCCCCAAGTGTCTGCATGCATACACATTCACACATGTCTACCTTCATACATTCATGACTTGGGCACTTACTGGTGAGAAAAAGTCATTTGGACAGGAGAGTTTGAAAGATTTTGAAATAGAAGGAGCCATTCTTATGTCCTGCCTGAGTGATTTGAAGAAATTAAAGATGAAAAAAGTAAAAGGCATAAGTGGCGTTGGTATGAGAAAATCAGGAAACTCAAATTGAAATTATTTTTCTTCCTCAAACTATCTCTGTCTGGTCCAAAGACTCCTTGTCAGACACTTTTCTTCAATATCTGTGACGTCTTAGCGCTGGATGATATTTGTGGAGCTTGATGAGTGACGCATATCCCAAACACTAGTTCTCTCTACAAATTCAATTTGATAAAAAAAAGCCTATATGATTGAATCCTGTCTAGTCTGACACCCGAAGCCAAGACAAACTACGGTAACAAATACATTCCTGGGAATCACAGAAATTGCATTTCATATATGATGTCCGACTCCGACTTGTCACTCAGAATTATCTGGTGCGTTGGTGAATACACAGTGCAGGGATTTCAGCACATTTACTAATTAAATATAAAAGAGAAGAGACAGTGGGGAAGAGAGGGAATTTCAGAGCTGCTTTCAAAGCCGCTGCCACTCCGGTCTAATCTTTAAAGTAACTGTACACATGCACCCCTATAAAAAAACACAGCTAGAGAAAATGAGATCATTAATAGGGATGGCAAGGCAATAGATTTGTGCATTTATTATGCGGAGAAACAACATAAACAAGCACTGTGCGAAGTAGATAAGCAGGCTGCCACAAAGCTGCTGTCGGCCAGTCGGCCACTAATCTGTGCGTCGTGGCCAACAGAGACTATAAACTGTGTGAAGAAGAAAGAAACTTTAAAAGAAACTATTAACTATGTACATTTTTTATTACACATACATTGCAAAGCATGCAAGCACTCATTATGGACTCATGCCCACGTCACACACATGCACACAGTCGAACTTGCACAACCATGACTTATGCCTGACCACCAGGCTTTGTCACATCCCGCTGTAAGCATTTCATCCTTCTAAAAAAAGATGCCTCCAAATGGAGCCGTTTCTCTGTGATCGTGCGTTTTGGGCATTAAGCCTCCAGGATGCGGAGTTAATGGGATTGCTCCTGTTTTGCTTCTGGCTGCGAGCTGCATGGTGGCTGGAGAGCCTGTGAGTTGATGCCTAGAAACGACTTAGCGGAGACAAGAAGAAGCCGAGCCAATTTCTACTTTGTTGCTTCTCCAGCATGGCCAAGACATCCAATTCCATCAGGCCTCTGCTGCTGGGCGGCAGATAGAAAATGGGCCCTAAATCCTGTAGCCGGGCTAGCTTATTCCCTTATCTTCTAATGGCTCTGATAACAGATTGGAGGAAACTGTGTCAGAATAACTGCCGCATGACCCGCTGCCAGAGACCCTTATTAATCTTACTAAGAAACAACAGGAACAAGCTATGGGTATTAAGAACGCTTCGGTATCATTAACATATTTGCAAGAAGAGCAACAACTGGAGGATTTGTTATCTAATAACATAAATGTCAACAATACGACAAAAGCTTCCTGGGGACCATCTAACCAGAGGTAACGATGTGTCCTCATGGATGAACACAGATCTCTACTATTTTCTGTTCCGACTTACCGGGGGCTTTGTAGAAGCCAATGTCTTCCTCAGTAAGAGGCAGCAGGTAGACTTCACCTTCCTTCCACAGCAGGGGGTACTCCTGCCCTCCAGAGAACTTCCCCAACCAGCCGTCCTGATCTGGAGATGAAAGAAAACATTTCAGAACATGAATCACGGCTTTTCTCTGCATCACAGAGTCTGGATGGTAAATGCGCTTTGTATACAAAGAGTATAAACCTTTGAGTTCTTACACGAGATGTGTTCAGATTATTTTTCTATTAGGTTTATTTTATCTGAGATCAACAGAGAAAAATAACAACAGTACACACAGTGGCCCTGAGAACTCAACACACAGCAAATAAAGAAAACATATGCAGAAACATTGCAAATAGAATCTGACAAATAGAACATAATAAACCTAATAATAATAATATGTATAACAATATACATCGTTTTCAGCACAGTATCTGCCATTGCATTTGAAGCATGCAATCAGAATACTGTTTTATGTATTTTGTAACACATTGTACGTCTAAGGGGCGGGACATCTCTAAGCGGTTAACCAATCACAACAGAGCCAACAATCCAACCAATCAGAGCAGACTGGGCTCTGGTTTCAGACAGAGGGTGAAAAGAGGTGCTGCAGCACAGGCAGTATGAGAACAATAAAGAGCTTTTTGAACATTAAAGCATGGAGACATGTCCCAGTAGAGACACTACATACTGATATGAACCTGAAAATGTGCATAATATGTCCTCTTTAGGAATGCAGGTTCTATATTCCCTTGCAGCATTTTGTCTACATCTTCATGGGTTGTAAATTGATGGAAAGTATTTCTTATTAGCAAACATAAATTCAATTTGGTTGAACTACAGAAAAAATAACAAACAAGACACTTCAGAAAGAACAAAGTAAACCCCCGGTAATTTTTATTTTTGCTGATTAATAACATCCCCACAGAAACAAAGAAACCTTATTAATATCTGGCAAGTCTTAGACAATACCTTCAAGGAAGTCAGAGGTGATGTGGACAGCAGCGTAGTGATTGGATGGGGAGCAGGCCAGCGAGTGGCCGAAGCAGAAACACGCCTGGCAGCCTGCTGTGTTTACGTGTTGTAGGTTGAAAAAGCCAGGCCTGCATCTGTAGGTACACACACACAAACATTCCCTCATGCGTTACAACATTTAAATATTGCCCCTCATTGCAGCTATTTATCACATGCCTGCTGGTTGCTGCAGTGTTATGGAAGATGGGGCCAAATGGAGCTCAGCTGCGAAGACCCTGAGCACTGACCTACAAACACTCTCTGGCATAAGGGTGGGACAGGAACAGCGCTAAAAATCAGCCTCTACACTCGTCACATTACACAGGAGAGGAGCCTGCTCAACCAGCCGTGAAATCAGCCAAAAAGTCAACAAACAGGGAGCACAGAATTATTCAATAGTCTGAGACCTGTGGCTGTGTGTATTGCTAATGTCACAGTGAGTTCATCTGTTTGATCCTGTATCCCTGAGGAGCGAGATAGAAACAGACAGAGGGGCGCAGGCACTTGGTTATCGACGTGTTGCAACGGTGCAACATTTGGAAGAAAACTCAAAACCTGGGAGAAATGCTTATACAAAATATTCTTAAAACTAAAGTATACTGATTGTGTGATTACCTGTCATCTGAACTAATGCATATTTAACAAATACTTTTTTTTGGGTCATTTTAATGCCATTACTTAATCACCTTATACTACTTTTTAGAATTATTTAATGTGCGCTTACCTCTTTATTTAATATGTGAGTCTACTTTTGCCTTTTTATCTGCACTGTCCCCTTTGCAGTAACTCTGTACATTTCCCTGCAGTGGGACGAATAAAGCTTTTGTGATTCTTATTTTTGAGGACTGATAATGTTAAGGTTTTATCCTAAAAATGTGGACTTCATTTCCTAAAAATCATCAATGCTTTTTTTTGGACTGATAACGTGCACAACTAAAAACAATAAATACGATTTATCTAAAAAGGAACCCATAAATGTTGTTATTTTCTTTTTGTATTTGCTCCATAATAAGGGGAAAGTATTTTTTCTGTGAATGCTTACTCTGCACTCAAAGTAATGAATGGTCAGTAAAGTCTTTAGTTGTTCTATTGTGGAGGCCTTCTCAGTTGCCTTGGTAACCATAGGTCATTTGCGCACATACGCGACGTTATAAATAATCTTATAACTCACCTGTCGCAGCTCTGCCCCTCCACGTGTGGCTTACAGTGGCAGCGTCCGTCCAGAGCAGAGCAGACGCCCACACTGCCACTGGAGGCACAGTCACAGAGCCTGCAGGAAACAAGAGGAAACAGGATTAACATCCATTGCACTCAAGAGAAAATGAGGCACATTATCAAGAAACAAGGAGCAGTAATTGGAAAGTGTGGACTGGTTTGTTTTTTTGGTCAATGTTTTGTTTATTGAAAAAACAGGTTCAATCATCCAGGTTCCCAATTGGGACAATGATATTCTTCCATTTTCATTTTTTCTTAGAATGAACCCAACCCCTCCCTCCCATACCTTGAAAACCCATAGAGATACAAGTTTAATCATGGAAACACATTTATTCCATTATTTATATACTTGTCTCTGGCCTTAAATCTCTCCTTAATAACTAGTCTACTCTGTGAATGTATGTGTGTCCTTGTAAGTCATTCCATTACATTTATTTGTTCTACATTTCTATCCAAGGAAATTTAGCCAAGAGTTGTTTTAGCTTTCAAAAACCCAAGCCATTGTAAGTGCAACTGCATTAGCTTCAAATAAGCCAAACCGTGGTACAAAAATGACCTTTTTGAAAAGATATTAATGGCCAAGGTGTATTAACGGTCAATAAACACGAAGATGCTCGGTTAAGTACACAATCAAACACAACAATTAAAAGGCTGTGTAAACAACCTTGATAAAAACGAGGCGAGGTGTTGGGTAATGTCAAAAAAGCGTTTGATCATCTGCATTGATTGATTGCTTTTGTTTTAACCTGTAACACAAAATCAATTTTTTAATGAGGCACTATTACAAATAATGAAATGATCCCCAGGCGAGGCATCTCTACTTGTTTCTGCTCCAGTGGGCTGAGTAATTCTCACCTCAACCCAACGGCCTGATTGTACTGCATGGATGAGAGAAAGTGTGCGTGTTGGCATGTGTGTGTGCATATGTGTGTGTGTATAATTCTTTGAGGGAGAAACATTTAAAATAAGGGTCAACTGTAAAATCATTATACTGTACGCTGTTGATTTATAGATTTATTTATTTAAAACGTGTGATATTTATTAAAGGAAATGAGTTCGAAGGGTTCTTAAATCAGTAATGTGTTTTCACTAAAGGCTCCTTGATCTTGAGCCTCTCTTTAAACCTGCATTAACTGATGCGTTCGGACGTTTATGGGCAAAGAAAACAAGCTGTGGCAGTGCTGGCATAATAACCATTTAGGCTGATGAACTGGGAGCAATATTAGCATTCATTGGGAGTTTTTTTTGCACCTGGCTGATGCAAAACCAATATACTCCCATTGAATCTCTAGTTGGTCTCCACTTTGCCTGGGAATCGTACCAATTTGCAAGCTCATATTGGACATGTTTGCGGCCCCTTGACTTTGGACAGACGACTGTTATCTACTATGGGTTCTGTAACTTTAACTGTACAGAAGAGTTTGCTGTTGAGGGAATTTTCAAAACAACCAAGATGGCTGCAGCTGATGTGGAACTTTCTGTTTAAGTGAGGTGATACATCTGCGCTAAAGGAAAAACAATCAACTGTGCATAAAGCTTTACTTGAGAGGGAGAAGTGTTTGCTTTACTTCAAACAGGATTTGGCCAAAGTTTAATATACTGAGTCATGTTGTTATAGATTTACATATTTCTGTTTCTTAGGCGTGGTTTGTCATCACCAAATGTTCTGTAATTGGCTGGTACTACTGTGTTTGATAGGCAAACATAAACGGAGGGTTTCCAAATTAGTTAATATTTCTGGTAATGGCTTGTCTCCATCAGCTTATAAGAACCACATCTGCCACTTTATTTAACTAGCTAACTTTGCCTTTCCACTGTAGCTGGACTGTAATCACTCAATCATATGTTGGGGCTTGTTTGTGAAAAACAAAGGACTGGAAACAGCAAGCTAAGGAAACTGCATTTCTTTAATACTATCTGAGAGGGTGCTTCTCTGATTGTGAAGCCCTGAGGCAAATTCGTGATAGTGAGGCTTTATTATTAATTCACTTGGCTAACCAATTCTCATTTTATGTGGATTTAAATTACTAAAAATTATACTATCATCACCTCTTTTAAATTACGCATACAGTAGTCCTTGCATTCCTTGTTAATAGAAACATATTGAATGTAGCAGCTTTAAAATCCCAAGAATACATTTTGTAAATGTTTGACAAATGCTAAAACTGAATTTCAATTTGGTGGGAGTTTGTTGTTGTCACAGTATCCAGAGTGATGTGTTGAGAAATACTGTTAACACCAAATATTCATAGTTATGCGAGACAACGGCCTCACATCTTAGCATTCCCTCTGCAGGTAGAGGGGGTCAGGGAGAGATACGGTGGACTTCTTATGAATATAAACATACTTCTCTCACACACACACCGAAATTCTATAGGTCCTTGCTTAGACTCCACGCACGCGCACACGCACACACACACACACACACACACACACACACACACACACACACACACACACACACACACACACACACACACACACACACACACACACACACACACACACACACACACACACACACACACACACACACACACACACACACACACACACACACACACACACACACACACACACACACACACACACACCACACACACACACACACACACACACACACACTATCATGCAGTCATACTTAGTAGGAGAGCTCTCAGTTCAGAAAAAGTTGGAATCTGCTTTTTATCATCAAAATGTATGCAGTAGGTCAATGTAACTTTAAGATGCAACAAAAAAAAACAGACTGAGTGTGCAAAGCCTCAAAACCAAATCAGCCTCATATCTCTGGGATGAAAGAAACTCAACCTATCTTAAAATCAATTAAACCCACTGAGCTCATTATTTCAGCATACTGAAACAATCAAAATCAGAGCTGAATACAAATACTGATAAAAAAAAGTTTCTTCAATAGACACGGCCATTTTGTTTTTATTCAGGGGACCACCTCAATTATAGACAAACAATTTTAATCAGCCATCAATCTGGAAATAATATATGTTTCACAATCAGTGATTACTTTGTCTCAGCAAGGAACCATCAAACAGTATCTCTAAAAATAAATAAAAGCATTTATTGCCTGCATACTAAATAATTCAATGTCAGGAATTAAACACAAGTATGGAATAAGCTTGTATTACTAAGATGACATTCCTGATCTATTAAAAGCCTATTAATAAATAGATGATAAGTCAAAAGAGATTATAGATTTTGTATGCAAGACTAGAGAAACCTTTCCTAACTAAATCATTATATATTCATCTGCAGGCTAGCAGGGAGGTTTTTAAAGGGTTACGTTTACTTTTGGGGTAGGCTGGTGCTTAAGCAGTTTTATGAAGGCAGCGAGGCTGGATCCTGTCACCATGGAAGAGACAGCAGGGTCTCTGACTTGGATCTGGGGGGTCTTTAAGCTTTTGAACTGGTCAGAAGGTTGGCTGACTCACCAAAACACAAGCCATTTGCAGGAGGAGTGAACTCACTAGTTCACTAGTTTACAGGAGTGCCAGTTGAACACAATGCAACAGGCCACTCTCCATTTAGAAGAACAGTTTTTTGTAATGTATTAGTGTTCTGCTTTCTAGGCTTGGGTCACCATGACACTGGATAATTACATCTGCCAGGGAGGTAATGTTTCTGGCTTGGTTTGACTCTGTTAGCAGGAATACAAAAAAAAGTATGTCCTGATTTTCAAAACATTTCTTGTAAGGTTGTAAAAGAAGAACAGGAGTGGACAAAATCACGGTTAAGATATGCAAATGATGTTTCATCTTTGTTACTGCACTATATGATGTCAGAATAATTTGAAAAACGTGTTCCAGACTCGAATATTTCACATAAACACCCCCTAAAGTACAACAACTAGAAAACAGGTCTCAGTGTGTGTTTAAATGTAATTTATGTTCTTGAAGCATCCATGCTGTTCCACATTACGACTCAAAGCTCCTGAACAAGTTGGAATACGACTTCTCATATTGGAAATGGGACCATCAGAGGAGCATTCAGTTTGATGAGGGCTATTCTAGCTGCCACATGTTTTCAGTTGACATTTGAGACAAATGTTGCATTGTTGTCCAATTATTTGTATAACATAGAGACCAAGTATCTTCCTATAAAGTTGAAATGGCAAAGAGTTGTTTGTTTACACCAGACATTATCAACCAAACATTCAATATTAGTGCTGCAACAAGTCCTCCAACTCATACGACCAAATGGGCCGATTGTTCAAGCCCTTATTACGACCAAATGTGTTGTTTGTTCAAGCGCTTAATACGACCTATAATTACGTTTGAAAGTTTTCGCCCTCAAGTGCTCCCGTTGAATGCTAACGTTACAGATGGTCGTTATTCACAAATAACCCTCTCTGTAAAATCCTAAATTGTAGGATAGTTTGGCCATTAAAACGCTATTTGATTAGATTTCTAGCGAGAAGTATATATTGTACTTTTAAAATCCACGTCCAGTCGATATGCAGGATCTATAGTTTGATAGATATTACGAAGATGATTTGAGGTTTCGTCAGAACGTGTATATGCGGCAAGCTTCCATGTAAAGTTACGGGTTGAAAACAGTATTTCCGGTCTCTACGTTTTCATAATAAAACCAATGATCAAATGATTTAACAGTGATATCTGCAGTACTCATCCACTAAAAAACATCAGTTTATCCTAGTTAATTATACGACATTAATTGGTTTAAATTGTGTACAATGCTTTTGTGTTTTTCCCATAGAGTTTTCTCTTTCGATTCTGAGAGACACATTTCTTTTTTCAGAGGTTTTGATAGGCTAAAATCACGCCGCAATGCACGTCGGGATATGGTGTTTATGCGACATCAAATCGGAAAACATTAAAAAAAATAATAATAATACTTTATTCCGAGTGTTCTTGCTTTTCTCTTTGGAAGTCATCACATAACGGCATTGCAATACACGGTTTGTCTGCATTAAATATTACATATCTGCCGTAGTTCTCTATTTATAGAGCCCTGATGAGAAGACTTCTGGACAAACTGGAAGAACTGCTGCCAAAACTGAATACGTGACGTGAATCATAAATATATCAGTAATTACACAACATTTTATATTTATTTTCACACAATACGTCTCCTTGCAGTATCAACACTAATTCGGCTGACTTTTATATCTGATCCAATTGGTAGATAGGCTGTATTTAAACCATAACGGTGCACAGCTGATAGAAAGGGACACCTAGCGGTTAAAAAACGTTATTGCATTTTTTTGTTGAAATTATGTTATATTTGATGAAAAAACATATTAAGAGTACATAATTTCATAGGGGGAAAGTAGAAGGTCAATTATAGAAATATAGAATAGATCAGTGGTTCTCAACCTTTTTACACCAAGTACCACCTGAGAAAATAGTTGGCTCTCCAAGTACCACCACATGACCAATGTTAGAGAAAATGTCCTCTTGGGAATTCAGTTCCACAATAATAATGAAGCCTCCAGGAGCAGATGAGCCTAAGGGCTAATAGCTCATCTTCAGTCTGCTGATGTTTGCTATTGCCATTTCTGTGGTGGCAAAGTAAAAAAGAAAAGAAAAAAGATAAGAAAAAAGATAACAATTAAAGACAAGTGTGTGCTTTTTCAGCTTTTGACCTCGGTCACAGCCTTCTCTCCATTCTTTGAGCAAATGCCTTCTTCCTGAGTCACTTCTCTCCTCCATCACAGTGGCTGTGTATATCACTTTTGCGTTGCTGGCGGAGCCTGCGCTTGTGCTCGGTTGATGACTGTCCTCCTCCTCATTCACTTGTTCACTTTTGCTGGTAATATTCTCCTCTGTACCTCTCTTCCGAATACCTCCCGTTTTGAGCCACGTTTTTAACATCATTCAGCTTTCTTCTTTCTTTAGCTTGCTTGCAACGTTTGCTAATCGTTCGCGGGTAGTAAGGTCTTAATTAGCAACGCCAGAAATAAATTAAAAAAACGTTTTTGTTTCTAAATCTAAAAACAACAATAGCCTATTAGAGCTAATTTAAACCACAGTTTCAATTATCTCAAGCTTATTTTCATTCGTTGTAGTATGTTGATAGTATGATTTCTTTTTTAATTAATGTTATTCAATCAAGCCTCAAACTGATGGCACTTGTCCCTAGCCTGTTTTAAATTGAAGTTGTCTGAGGTCCTTACCATCAGCTGCTCTTGCAGTAATAAGTAGTGTACCTTAATGTCCCAAATGTGCCAATGTAGCGACTGCTTTTCGTCTTTTTGTTTACTTAGTTGTGTTTCCTGTATTTTATATGTCTGTGTTATGTGTAAAGGTTAAAGGTGGGGTAGGTAAGTTTGACAAACCGGCTCGAGATACACTTTTTGTTATATTCCATGGAATGCTCTTAACATCCCGATAGCAATGAATATCTTAAGTGCTTTGACAATAAATACATGAAAACATTTCATCTGTGGAAGCCGTGGCGCTGTAAAAAGCACGACCAATCATTTTAGCCGGCCCGGCTAAAATAACTGGATGGCCTACCTGCCTGTCAGCCTTCCATCTGTGCTCAAACTTATCTCGTGCCCTCATTGGTCATGTGCGCGTTCGTGTGTGTTGGAGGAGGGGCTCTGTAAGGAAGTGGCAGATTTTTTCTGGTTGTGTATTTTCAAATTCTAGCGCACTCAAGCTGGTTTCTCCAAAATTACCTACCCCAGCTTTAAATTAAAAAAAATGTTTTTAAATATTTTTTATATTTCAGATTCCTCCACGTACCACTAGCGGGAGCTGGCGTACCACCAGTGGTACGCGTACCACAGGTTGAGAACCACTGGAATAGATAATATGAAGAAGATACTGTAGTGATCTCTACAATAAAACAGTTTAGTGCAGGACGTCCAAAGATATTAATAGGAGGATGTGCAAAACAGACAAACTAATAAGGCTTTATTTAAACATTAAAGAATACTTTAAGTTAAGGTCTTCTTTTGAATAAGAAAAAAACGTTGGGGGTATCCACAGATAAATATGAAGTCTGACAAAGTACAATCACCTTCCCTGAATTTGACTCAGGTGTAACTAAAGTCTTATTTAAGGGTTGTTTATATTTCACATCATGAATCAGAATCTGCAAAGTAACTAAAATAAATGTCGTGGAGTAACAATACCAGGTTAACCTCTGAATTGTAGTGGAGTAGAAAAAAGTAGTATGCTGCTGTAACAAAAACATGGGGGCAATTCCAGTTTTGGAAAGTCTATCGTGGTTCCATTCCATTTCAAAGAGCTGTTGACGCTCGGCGTAACCTTGTCGCACTGCCACTCCAACATCCAATCACAGGGCTTGAGGACTAATCACGGGGTTTGTAAAGCAAGGCGGGTGTTGTAGTCCCAAACGATAGCTGGGGATTCTGGGTAGTGTAGTGTCTTCGGAAACTGTAGTGTCTAAACTCCGAGGGGGGGGGGGGGGGGGGGGGGGGGGGGGGGCGGGGGGTGTGTGGTGGGTATCTACAGAAGGTCCAGTTGTGATAGCCACGGTTCGCCACTGTGGATGAGTAATGCAGATATCACTGTGTAATCATTTGACAGTGAGGGGAATACATCCGGTTTTATTATGAAAACTTTGAGACCGGAACAACTGTTTTCACCCCGTGAGGGTTGACGCTAACTTTACATGGAAGCTGCCGCATATACACGTTCTCCTGGCAAGACCTCAAATCATCTTCGTAATATCTATCAAACTATAGATCCTACACATCGACTGGACGTGGATTCTAAGAGTACAATATACACTTCTCGCTAGAAATCGAATCAAAAAGAATGGTAAAAAATGGCCAAACTATTCCATTTAGGATTTTCCAGAGAGGGTTATTTGTGAATAAACGTCCCTCCGGAGCGTTTGCAATCAAGCATGTTGTTGTTAAGAAACAACATACACGTTAAAACGTGTCTCTGGGTCAGAATAAGGGCTTGAACAATCGGCCTAAATGGTCGTTTTTTGAAGGAGGACAGGCTGTAGTAATCATTTGGAGTTATGTTTTAAGCAACCCCATGTTTCCAAGTCCAATATTCCAATATTACTCTAAGAATGAGATAATGTGGATTAAACAATTCAGTTAATATACGTTAATAAAGACCAACAAATGTACCAAGAAGTGACACGTAGGAATCCTAGAGGTTAACAGAAGTTAGAAATAAGTAAACCATCCTGTTTTGAGTTGTATTAAAGTATTTGTGGAAATCTTGATTAAATCAAATGTTGATGTTTTTCTTAAGTTCAAGTTTCCATGTGGAAAATTAAAGTGCTCCGGGTTGTCTTGCCTTTTTAGAAATGGTTATTAGCAGATAGATTCTGTAGAGCACATCCTGACTCATGCTGATAAGAAGGTCACTAATTCACAGTGGTGTCACAGAGAGAAATGAAATCCTCTTGTTTACGGCTGCTTTGGAGTTTGATAAATTCAAGCTCGGGGAAGTAGGATGGTGCAACTGCAAAACAGGGAGGATGTATGTGTGTCTGTTGAACCTGTTTATTCCTATTAACCCCTTAAGATGCCTTATTATAATTATAATATTTCTTTCATTAATCGTCTTTATGACCATGTGTGTCTCTCACCTGCAGCCACCAGGGCCAAGCGAGTGAAAGCCAGCCCGACATGTGTCACACTTCTTCCCTGTCACGCCATTTTTACACGCACACCCTCCCTCTACATCACACCGCAGACTCAGTGAACCTGACAGCAGATGGATCAGAAGAAAGAAAGAAAAGTTAAAAGGGTACACGGAAACAAGGAAAGGGAGTATTTTCAAGAACATGGTCGTTGGAGGGACTTAAAAATCCATCAGTACATCATTAATAATTTGTCATGACGGGGATAACTGAATACCTGTTATTGAATTCTGTTCAAAAGCCTCAGAGACGAGCTCTGAGGAGCAGGAGATAACCTTGCTTCCACACTGTGTCTGACATACTGTAGCTTAAGTTAATGGAGAAAAAAGACCAGCTGGGGTATTGTTGGACTTGGAGAGAAAAAGAAAGCCCAATGGAGTCTGCTCTAACCTTTGATCAATATAATGGACTCCAACAACTGTGTGCAATCACCTTACACTACCTAGGAAATGAAGAGTGAAAGTTAGCTAAGATATTTGTCCATTTCTCTCTGTGGATCGCTCTCTTTGCACTCAACATGATGTAATTAACAGCCCCAACATTTCCCTGCAACTAAAATTAGACGGTGTTTAATGAGCACTGAGTCTTTTCATTGATAACTTTATAGTCTACTTGCCAGCAGTGTGAACCCGGAAACGTATCTCAAGGTTTTATGATAGAAATGTATAGTACGGGTCCCCAGGACACAGAAACTGCCAGCAAAATGTGCACCATTCGCATAAATTGCATTAGTTAGCATAAATTAGCATATGCAGGCAATAGCAAAAAAATTGCTTGGCCGATTTCGACAATTTTGGTGTGGTCTTTATAGTATATTGAGGATGTTGAATCAATTTTTGGATCAAAAATAGCAGTTGTGAGTCTCCTAAAACCCTACATTCGTCAAAATCATCCCAACGGGATTACAAATGTGGACTGTTTCTGGTTAAAACTGCAATTTTTTTATCCCAAACATTTGAGAAATTGCCTCAATCCTCAATAACCTCCAAAATCACTCAAAACTTCTCCAAATCGGCCAAGCTATTTCTTGACCATTGTCTGCATGTGCTAATTAACGCAACGTATGCTAATTGTGCAAATTGCTCAACATGCAAGTTAGCATCCAGCTGTTTTTATGTGCTGGGGACCCGAACTATACATTTCTATCATACAACTTTGGGGCACTAAACATTTCTGGGTTCACAATAGGACTCTATGAGCTGGCAAAGTCAATTGAATGAAGTCTTAACAGCAAAGTCATGGATTTATTTTAATGGTCATTTGGGAGGATAAGGCGAGGATTAATCTGATGAGATGTTCAGGAGATAAGACGAACAAGATTGTATTAATTATGAATCAGAAAAATACTCAGGTAAGGTTTGGCAGTTTAGTATTAGTCGATGCGTGAGAGTAATGTTATTAATGATTTAATAACATTAATCCTACGAGTCCTGTTTCTGTGTAGCTACATTGTGATGCCTTATTGTGCCAATATGGCGTTCCAATTTAAGCATAATTAAATGTTCTCATGGCAGACTGAACAAAAATGGTGAGTAATGATATTTACATGGATTATAATTAGGGGTTTCAAGTTATTATGCAAACAATGGGCTCTGTGCAGCTTACCGTTAACATTGCAGTTGCAGGGTAGGCAGGGCTCCTCATCAAACCTCCTGTAGTGGTTCTCTCTGCAGCGCTCACAATGGGGTCCGTCGGTGTGGTCTCTGCAGCTCACACAGCGCCCCCCCCTGCCGGTGCTGCGGTGCTGCTCCACGTCAAACACACACTCGTCAGACCTCCCGCTGCAGTTGCACTCTGTGGAGGAAAAACAAGAATGAGAAAGAGCAATAGGTCAAGTGAGGAGAGACGTGGAAGAAAGAGCATTTCACAGGAAGAGGAAGTAGAAAGAGGGGAGACAGAAATAGACGGAGAGAGGCAGAGGGAGGGTGAATGTCTGAGAGATTATGTGTTCCGGGATTGGATCATAATTTAGAGGCTCGCTGCTAATCTCATTTCACACAGGCCTAATGAGGAGCCAATCGGCTGTCAGGGGGCACTTAGATAACAGTAATGCATGTTTATACAAGAGCAAATTACTCAGCTGATAACACAACATCACAGCACTCATACCCCTCATATCAAATCCCTCCTTAGTCCACCAGTCGCTCTGTGGGGGGATTTAGGTGAAATTGCCCATTTTACATTTTATTATGAATCAAGCTCTCTGTTGTTTCCCGGAAATAACTACATGATCATTCCTTCCTGTAAATAAGTAGACTCGGCAGGGTTCACGTTATTGAATAAATGTAATGATCACCAGTTGCTTTAACACCCATGTTAAAAACTTTGGGTTGAAGGTGAAAGTTTGAAAGGCTTTTAATTAAGAGTGTTTTGTTCCATTTGGGACTGAAACCATTCATCAAAGACCATGAGTAACTTAATTATTAAAAGTCATCAACAAAGCTTTGTTTAATCTCTTATAAAATAATATTACATCATTATCCGGCAGTGGCTCAGGCTTGGACTGGGAGCTGTAGGGTCACTGGTTCAAGTCCCCGACCAGACATAAAATATGGAGTGTGGACTGCTACTTGGAGAGGTCCCAGTTCACCTCCTGCCCTGCCGTGGTGCCCTTGAGCAAGGCACCGGACACCCCCCTTCCCCCCTCATTGCTCCCCGGGCGCTGTACAATAGCTGCCCACTGCTCCTAGTACTAGACTCCTGGTACTAGGATGGGTTAAAAGCAGAGAACATATTTCACTGTGTGTGCTCTGCATGTGTGACCATTAGAGAGGGTTTCCTCCCTCCCAATTCTATTCTATCAATTTGGACCTATAAAACATCAATCACAACTTGCTCAGTCAAGATAATAAATTGAGTAACACCTAAAAAAGTAAAATAAACCAGTTGATTTTGCACTGTCTATCACCTCTCAAACTTATGCTGTGTCCCTTATTCTCACAACTGCAATCTTTCTGCTCCAATGGAAACAGAATCTGACAAAAACTGACACTCCACAAAGAAAGTCTCTGCAGCATGACTCAGCTCTGATTGGCACTGGTGGTCAACTAAAGAACAAATCCATCCGGTCGGCTCTACCTGTCAGCTCTTATCCACTGTGTCTTTATCGTGCTGCTATACTGCTGCTGCCACTGCTGAGCCTCTGTTTCATTTCCTTTAGTCCCACAAAGATATGTTGACTCTGAAAGGAGAAGCTTTGATGCTTGCAGACTATCCTGAAAAAGATAACTATTATCTGAAAGTGATGTTATATTCACATAACTTCAGGTTTATCAATAGGTTATGTCTAGTTAATTCATATTCTGAACTGAAGCGGGGACATTTTGTTTGTTTAATTATGGGCCTGTCACCCTGGATTGAGCCTCTGGGCAAACTGAACATCTGGATACCCATCCCCCTCGGCAACTTCAAAACGTACATTTGATAATGTTTTAATTAGTTGCAGCTCCTGTTTAATGGGCTTTTGTTTTTTCTGGTTATTTGGTTTGTTATCTTTACTTAAAAATAGGAATGTGACTAGTTTTAGTTCACAACTGTGAGGACTATGTTAAATAATGTGATTACCATGAACAGCCTTTGATGTTAATGCCATATTGGCTTTCTCAAGCACCCTAAACTTGTTCTTGAGAAAAGGCTACATCAGATGTATGACATTTTTTAAAAGCACAGAATAAGTTGTACCTGTGATCTCATAAAGATCAATATCATGTCTTAAACAGGAATTTAAAAAAGAGTGAGAGAACTAATAAAATAATGCTGTCGACCGAAGTTGCTCCAGAGTGGAGCACAGGACTCGAAATGTGAACTGGAAATGAACATGTCCCATTTTTAACCAAAGGCATGGCAATCGTTTTTGATCTTTGTTCGAACACATTATAGTTTATTCATGTAGGTGCAGTTTGCCCCATCTGGCAATAACCACTGATAACACCCATTTATTAGACTTGGAACTTTTGAAATAGGTGCGAAAACTAAATAACCAACGTTTTTTGCACAACTTTCAGTTTTTACCCAAGAACAAATCCCAAAGGAGAAAAAACATTGATGATTTCAGAATCTATTTAAAAACTTTGTGAGTGGTTTTTACTTTTTATATATGAATGTATTCTAAAAACAGGGACCAAGGCCCAGTGTAGCAGGACAGTTTAAAGGTGGTGTATGTTGCTTGTATTATGTCAGGGAGGGAACCTGAGACAGCGCAAATCACTTAAAGATGTTTTCTACCGATGCAACACAAAGACTTCCACACAGCCTCCCTCATGTTTGGCCATCTTGACCACATTTAGGTCTGCCCACCCAAAACAACAACCTCTTAAATTCCCATAAATTCCTCAGCCTTTGCTTCATTGCCACTGTGGAAGCTCCACACAAGAAACAAGGCAGTGTCCACAACATGAATACAATCATAGTGGTGGATGAAGCCACCTCCCTAAACACTAAACACTATGCCTCACACATTTTTGGATGAAAGATCAACAGTATTACAACAGAGGTACTTTAGAATACAGCACTATGGAGCAATGTGGTGGTGGCCTGCAGCTTTCTCAGCCATCAATTCTACTTTACTCAATTGCACATTTGATAGTTCAGTTTCTTCTTAAGGTAAATAAGTAAACTGTAAATGTATGTTTAGCACTTAGCTTTACACAAGGTTAGTGATTTGTATGTACTGTCGTTGTGTTAAGAATTGGTTCCCTAGAAACTATATTTATTTTATACTCATTTGCAAAGGTGGCACTTTCAAGAGTCAATTTTAGTTTAATGGTTTGGTATGAATGGTAACAAATTCACTACCCTTGGTCATATATGTTTGTAATGTAGAAGTGTTAGAAGTCTAAAATCAAAAAGCGAAGCAATCTGAATAACCAGATCCTCTGCAACTTCAATGTAAGTGCATGTCTCCAGTACACGATAAAAGAAAGTGCTGCATTATCTGTGTGTGAAAAAAGGGACGGCCCAGTGACTCCAGTGGCACCAACCTCTCCTGACAGGCCAGTCCTGCAGCACTTTACACTCCAGGTGAGGGCATTCAAGGACTCGTTAATTTGCATATCAAGCACATATAGGCGTGGACGCAGCCCCTATAGTGCTCCTTGGGGCTCTGTCTCATGGAGATTAGTCTGGACACACAGTGAAAGCCATGTTCATTCTATATCTACTACACACAGCCCCTAACAGCACAGTATACACTCCTTTTTTGCACAATGTACAATCAGGTCATAGAAAAGCAATGTTGTAAGTAAATAAGGAAAGTTTATTTATAAAGCGCTTTTCACAGACAAAGTCACAAAGTGCTTGACAAAACAATAAAACATCATATAGGAATCGTACAATGATAAATGGACACACAAGCCACATGTTTTACACCGCTCTCGCAATTGTTTTACGCTCAGTGTCCGAAAGAGAATTGCTTCTCAACTTATTCTTCCGATTATGGACTATTGTGATGTTGTCTACCAAAATGCACATAAATCAGATCTTGCTCCACTCAACATAGCCTACAACAGACTATGCAGATGTGTTCTTGGTTGTCCTTTTCGTACACATCACTGCACAATGTATAACCAACTTAAATGGCCTTCTTTAAATGTAAGAAGACACACGCATTGGCTTCAGCTGATATTTAAATGCATTTATCTTAACTATCCCCCGTATTTAAAGCAGTATTTTGTACCCTACTCACCAATTCATCAAGTTAGACATTCTGTTCAGATTTATTTCTCTGTCCCCTCTGCAAAAAAATGTATTGGCAGAAGAGCGTTCATGTTCAAAGCCCCAACTGACTGGAATACTTTACCTGCTGCTATTAGATCTCTGTCATCATTGGGTATGTTTAAACATGCATTATCATCTCACTTTCAACTGGTCTGCACTTGTTATTAATGAAACTGATATTGATTAAACTGATTTGCTTGACTGTCTCAAATTGTAATGATTGTAGTGCATTGCTACGCTTGAATTGTACTTAACAGACTGTATGTGGTTTGTCTTGTGTGTCATGTTTTGCATTTTGTCTTTTTGTTTATGTATGTCTGTAAGTTGTTGCTATTGTCGGGACCCCCTTGAAAACGAGATGGTGCATCTCAAGGGGTTTATCCCAATCAATACAAAATGTCTATATATATAAAAGCACCAAAACACAATAAAAACACAATAAAACACAATGAAAACAAACAAAAAAACGTAGTATAAAATAGAATAAAATCAAGCACACCGGTTACCCAAACAGGAATGTCTTTAAATTAGCTTTAAAGGAGTCAACAGAGTCAGCAGACCGTAGATGAGCGGGCAGAGCTTAGGAGCCACGGCTTCGAACGCTCAATCACCGCGGGTCTTAAGGTGGGTACGTGGGACAGACAGTAAATTGTGCACGTGTGACCTGAGTGGGCGGGCTGATGTATATGGATCTAAAGATTGTTATAAGATGTTTTATCAAGGTTGGTGACAGGGCATTCAGTGTTGCGGCCCCCACCCTCTGGAATGCACTTCCTGCCGAGATCCGTAATGCTGCCTCCCTGGACATCTTCAAATCATCACTAAAAACACACCTGGTCACCCTGGCCTTCGGGCCCGAGCCCTTTTCTGGTCCCCCGGCTTCCTTTATTTATTTCTTTGGTTTGCCCGTTGATTGTCTGTTTGTTTTGTTTGTCCACCATGTACAGCGACCTTGGGTCCCTTGAAAGGCACTATATAAATATCATTTATTATTATTATTATTATTAAGGTTGCTCATTGAAAAGCATCAGAAAATCAGCTACTTTGATGTGAATACTTCCTCAACTACTCATCAAATA